ATCCAGAAGGCAGGCGTTCAGTATATCATCGACTCAGTGGTGCAGCAGTTGCTGCAGAACGAGACCCGAAAGTTCATCTATGTTGAGACGGCATTCTTCTGGAAGTGGTGGCAATTGCAGAAACCAGAACTTCAAGAAAAGGTTAAGACGTTGGTTAACAATGGTATGAATTGCTGTTTTATTATGTAAAATATAAGGTTTTTTACTTCAAATTACTTTTATTATTTATTCAATACTATTTTCCACAAGAGATAAATTCTTAACACATAAATACATGTAATACATGTACAGTTCATATATCGGGCATTTAATTATCATTTTTCAAAAGCTGCTAACATTGAATTTTTGATTCTACAAATATTTATGAATTGCTCTTTTATTTTAGATTTTTATTTTAATATAAACTAATTTTACTATTTATGTTTGTTTTACTACTCATTTAGGCTTTGAATTTTTATGTTCACATAAAATTCAGTAAATTTTGCAATTAATTTGAATTTCCCTAAATAACTAAATTCTTATTTTTAAAAATTTTGTAGTTTTTAGCAAAGAATTTACTTAAATGTTTTCATTTCATTTAATTTATGTTAGAATTATTGCACTAAATTAAAGTGAGAACTAATAGATATTTTGAAATTTGCAAATAAATAGCGAATTATGTAATGATTGAGCGCTTAATCCATTTTATCAAATGTACTCAATTCACTTAAATGATAGACAAATAGATGTCGATTGAATTAATTTGTTTACAATAATTGTATAACAATTGATAGACAGAAACACTTGAAAAATAATCGATACGATAATTCATAGACAGATTCAAGGATTTGTCAAAAGTTTTGTTATATAAGAAACAAAGGATAAAAATTAGGCTAAATATATAATTTAAAGATAAGAAAATAAAATAGAAATATATCTAATTGTTTATCAAAGTTATAGTCCATTTATAATATAATTGTAAAATGTAATGACAGGTCAATTGGAGTTCATAAACGGCGGGTGGTGTATGAATGATGAGGCGGCCGCTCATTACCAGTCCATTGTAGACCAGATGACTTGGGGTCACCGACGCCTTCAGGACACGTTCGGTGAGTGCGGTATTCCTCGCATCGGGTGGCAGATCGACCCCTTCGGTCACAGCCGAGAACAGGCCTCACTCTTCGCTCAGATGGCGTTCGACGCCGTCTTCTTTGCCCGCCTTGACTACGAGGACAAGACTCATAGAGTGGCTGAGAAGAGGATGGAGTTGTTATGGCAGGGAAGCGATGACTTGGGAAAGGCTTCAGATATATTCACACACGCCATGGAAATGGGTTACGGTATGTGTTCTCACCATTATTTTATCATAAGTTTTATTTCAGTTATCAATAATTTACACAAAGTTTTTAAACTTCAAATGACATTATAAGTTAATACGAATTAAAGTTTTTAATTTATATTGATTTTAATAAACTTTATATTAATTCAGGTCCGCCCCCGGGTTTCAATTGGGATCTGGCCAATGGTGGCGACGACCCAATCATCGACGATCCCGAGTCAGAAGACTATAATGTGGACCAATATGTGGACAAGTTTATCACTTATGCCAAGAAGTACTCCAACTATTACGCCACGAATAACGTGTTGTTTCCAATGGGAACCGACTTCATGTACCAAGACGCCAACTCGTGGTTCAAAAATATGGACAAATTGATCACATATGTGAACGCCAGGAAACAAAAGGGATCTAATGTTAATGTCTTTTACTCGACGCCCACCTGTTATCTCAATGGTGTACATAATTCAAACCATACCTTCACCACAAAATCGGACGACTTCTTCCCCTATAATTCATTCGTTCACTCCTATTGGACGGGATATTTCACGAGTCGACCGGCGCTCAAACGCTATGAAAAGGTGGGCAATAATGCTCTTCAAGTGTGCAAACAATTGGATGTCTTGAGTCTCGGGAACGGCAAAAATGAGGCAAAAGTGACGCCATTGAGGGAATGGATGGGAGTTATGCAACATCACGACGCCGTCGCCGGTACTGAGAAACAACATGTTTCCGATAATTATGCCCTAAAACTGTATAAGACTATAGAGAAGTGTCAATCAGTAGTCGATGAGTCCCTGAATATATTGATTGGCGATAAAAATTTGAATCAATTGTTTTGCAATCAACTGAATGTCAGCGCCTGTGCTGTCACTGAAGGCACCGACAATCTAGCGGTAACTCTATATAACCCGTTTGGACATAGTGTCAATCATATGGTGAGACTTCCCGTCACATCCAAGGCATACAAAGTGTTGGACCCGAAAGGAAATGCTGTCAAATCAGATATCGTTGCAATTCCTGAATCAGTTCTCAGTCTTAAGGAAAGAAAGAGTAAAGCAAAAGATGAGTTGGTATTTGAAGCTCAGGTGCCGGCACTCGGATTCTCTACTTATTTGTTGAAAGCAAACAGCGCTGAAAATATTGAAAATGAAGCGAAAATCACGAAAATATCGGACGCTTTTACTATAA